ATATTGCGTTGTCGTTTTCTATTGCCACTATGACTTTTTTCTTTCTTGGATGCCATATTGATTAAATATATAAATCACAAAACTGAAAAAAGAAGTATATCACAAACACTTGCAAAAGCAATGCTTAACTCGCGCATGCCTAACACCAACTAAAATTTGACACAAAATACCGTTACGTTTGTTATCCGAATTTTGTTCGTTATCCGAGACAAAATTTTTGCAAAATAAAAGTTTGTTAACCGATTTGGTCGTTAACCAGGACATTCGTTAACCGGGGTTCCACTGTACTGATTTTTTTTTTAATTTGAAAAACATTTATAATTAAGTACCTGTTAATTTTAAGGATTTGTCTATGGATCCAAAATGATTTCAGGAATAAAATTTACTTTTATGTAAATAATAATTAATTTTTTTTACCTTCTATTATTTATTTAATTTTAATATATTTTGTTGTTTATATGTGGAAAATCTTATTAAAAAATCACAATGGAAAAGTTTTGAAAAATACATCAATTTTTTAAATTTTATTCATTAAAACATCCATTATTTCCACATTATTATTATACATTTAATACTTTTTATTACAACAAAGATAACAAAAAATGTTATAAATAGCACAAATTATATATTATTCTATATTTTAATAATGCAGTAAATTTCAATTATTATAATCATAAATTTTGTTATTAATCAGAATTAGCACATCCCAAAACATGTAAGTTATTAATGGTTTTCAAATTCAAATTATTATTAACATTTAATAATAATAATAAATTATAACATTGAAATTCACCACATTGAAAATTTATTAATTATATGTTTTTTTAATTATTTTAACACATTGTTTTAATGTCAATAAAACCAGAGTTTTCACAAGTTTTAGTGAAAATCTTAACTTACTGTCGTTTAATTATGCTGTTTAATGTTGTCATTTAGTTATTTTACAGTATAGGCAAGTCTCAGAGTTCTTATTATGAGTGGATTATACAGTGGAACCTCAATATATGACCTTAATCCATTCCTGATGTTTGGACTTGTACCAAATTGGATGTATACCAAACCAACCTTTCCCATAAGAAGTAATGTAAAAATGATTAATCCATTCTCATGTAAAAAAAAAAAATGGCTGGCTTTAAACATCTCGCTTTCCTGGCTAGTTCCTGCTTGATTTTCCATGAGATCGGCATGTATCTTTTTAGCTTTCTTGCAAATAATTGCTTCTGATACGCTGTCTCCAGCACATTTTTTTTCAGTTATCCAAAGCAAAAGCGATTTCTCAACATAATCTAATGTCTTTGATCTCTGTTTAGAAATTGATTAGGAATTGCTGCAGATGCCTTTCGCAACATTATCAGATTTAATAACGTCTTTATTTTTCACGATTGTCGATATCATCATTCTTGGAATACGGTATACAACAGTTAAATCTTGAACACACATGCCACCTTCATATTTCTCAACAATCTCTTTTATCAGTTCCATTGTGATTCTAGTCATTTTTTTAGTTTTCTGTTGCTTTTCAGTTGCCTTTTTGTAATTCATGATTAATAAAAATAATAAAATTTTACATACAAATTAAAATCAGAAGAAATTTAACAAAGTCATAAACCTTTGCACCACAAATGTCTAGTCTGGTCTAGTACACCGATAGTGCTACTTGTTCATAGATGGTGCGTATAATTGAATTAAGTCATATAGCAAACAAAAGTCGTATACCAAGCAAAATTTGTTTCATCCAAACAGGACGTTTTCCGAATTGGATGTATTCTAAAGCAGACGTATACCGAGGTACCACTGTACTGTATCTATACTAATATTATAAAGAGGTAATGTTTGTAAGTTTGTTTGCAGCAGGTAATCTTCGAAACTACTCATCCGATTTCAAAAATTCTTTCACCAATATTTAGAATGGAACCTCAGGATGGACATAGGCTGTATATTATTCCGTTAAACATTCATATAAATTAAAATATATAATCTAGGTTAAGGCTTTTATGTCCAACAGATGGCGCTACGAGTACGACGCCCTAAGTTTGCTTTTCTGTGAGGCATTATGCTTTTCTGTGAAAATGAACTAAAGCAGATCATCTTCTATCTATCTATATAAATAAAAATGTAATGTTCGTTTGTTCCTACCGATTCCTTTGAAATTTTGACACAACGCTGCATTCGAATACGCACGTGTTTTTATATAATATACGTGTCGAAATTCCCCCCACTGAAGGGAGATGGTTAGGATTAAGGCATACCGTAAAGAACTCTGCTTCTATTTATACTATTTTAGATGCGGTTTTTTGCATTTTTGATTGCGTTTTAATAGGGTACGTCAACAGAATGTACACTACAAAGGGATTTTTCAATATTTTCCCTGCGGGGGAGAGGGACAGGATTAAGGCTTACAATGAAGAACTTGGGTTCCATTATACTATTCAGATATGGTTTTTTGCGTTTTTGATTGCGTTTTAATAGGGTACATCAAGAAAATGTACACTAAGGGATTTTTCAAAAAATTCCCCCCTCCACGGGGGAAGTGTTACACATTTATAATAGATACATTTTGAGCCACAACAACGCGTGGTGGGATCTGCTAGTATTTAATATATTAAGAGCAATTTCACTATAAATCCATATAAACAAATATTCATTGTAGATTATATCAATAACAACAAACATATTTGTCATTTATCAAATGATAAATATATTTATTATTTTGTATGAGCTTATATATTAGTTTCATGTTAAAACAATTAAATAATTTAAATAAAAAATAAAATTCTCATTTTCCTACATTGAATATTTTTAGGAGATTTATTGGAAAATTATTGTATGACTGATGATTATGCCAATGCAGCACGTATTTTATTTACCATAACAATTATGCTGACTTACCCCATTGAGTGCTTTGTAACTCGTGAAGTGAGTATTCAGATATAAGTTTTATCTTTTTATATTTTAATTTGTTAAATTTTATAAATCACTGTATTTCTGCACAAATGAGGGCATGCTCTATACGTGAAAATTGCTTGTTTTTGCACTGTTAAAAACATGTCCTGTTTCACTTATCAGAACATACTTACATATATGAGCATGCTCTTACATGTGTCAGCTTATTTTTGTTTATAAGAACACTGTAGTGATGTGCCAATTTAAATTAAATGTACAGTACATGTTCTGATACATTAACTATTCATTGACAAAACAAAAAAATGCTTTCAATATTAGTTTTTAAAAATATTGAAGATTTTTTTTAGATATTTCATGGAATCTAGTGCCAATTTTGCCCTATTTATAAGCATATTTGTTATATGAGTGGAAATTCATTATCTGGTAGTGTTGTTGACTGACTTTCTCCTTAACAAAACCCAATGTGGCTGTGGAAGAAGTACCAAGAATGTTTTGAATTTATGACCAGTCTATCTATCTGTTTGGGAACAGTTTGCCCAAGTAACTTCAGCTTTGTTATGAGAAAGTCAGGAAACAGCACAGCCAGACAACAGAAATACGAAAATTATTCTGGGTAGTTGTCGTCATTGTTGAAAGTTGAGAATTAACAGAAGAGTTGAAAAGTAAGTATAATAATAGTCTTGTGTGAGAAGAGAGAATCTCTGTAAAACAACTAATGGACTTGGCAGCATAGTAGACACTGCCATGATTGCATAAGTGCTAATACTAATGTTTTGGACAAGTAAAATATAATGTTCTTACATAATATGTTTTTGTATCATCTTTACAAAAGCAATAATGCAGTTATGTGACTTTCCAGACTCTCTGTACTAATATTTATTGAATGAATTTTGTAGCTATATAATGCCTAAAAGTAGTACGTATAGTTAACCTAAGCTTGTAAAGCAAATGTGAATGTTTCTTTCAACTTTCCTTTAGTCATTGTATCGTGGTTTTGTAATGAAACTTTTCATGTGGAATTTTTTTAATTGTTGGTATGGTAAAATTAACTCCATCCAGCAATTTTAGTCTTCGATTCCAAATTTCAAAGACACACTATTTTTATAATGCATTTTGCTTTAATGAAATGTTCAGTGATGAGTTTTCTTTAATTTTATTAATTTATAATTTAAAATTGTAAAAAAGTTTTCATAGATAAATAAAAACATATACAATGTAAGTAACATCACATTAAATGTTATTTAATGTTTATTTTACCATATGAATTTATTTAGTATTCAATATGAAACATTTTTTTGCCCCCCAAAAATATTTGTATTTAAAAAAAATTATTTACAGTATATCAATGTTGTTGTAATAAATGCAGGGTGTGGCAACAGAGTAAAGTAAAAAGGGAACTGCTATGTTTGAATACAGAGTTTAATCTAAGCTGTATAAAGTACACATACCAAATTGAAAGGATGATGAAAATCACTTAGTTAACTAAACCTCCCTTTCTTGTGATGAAAATTCTCCGGAGATAAATTCCTCAAAAGTTTCATTCGAGGTTTTCAATTCAAGGAATTTAACATCTCAAGTTGCAACTATCTTTTTCTGAGTTTGCATCCAAATTTGATAGGCTTTGGATTGTTCAGAATATCCAATGAATATGCCTTCTTCAGTGTGAGGATCAAATTTACTGATAGTTGGGCCCTTGTTGAGTACAAAAGTAGGACTACCAAACGTTTGAAAGTGAGAAATTTTGCAATTCCTGCCATTTACAATTTTGTAGGGTGTATCATTGTCTAAGGCTCTAGAAGGACAGTGGTTCAGGATAAAGTTTGCAGTGTGGATGGCTTTGGCCCAATAGAAGGCCTTGAGTCCTGACTGAATTAGCATGCATCGTGCCATCTCAACCAGTGTTTGATTCTTTCAGCCACTCCGTTTTGTTGTGGGGTATGGGGAACGGTTAAGCATCATTTTATCCCACATTCTTTCAAATATTCATCGAATTCTTTGTTACAATATTCAGTTACGTTGTCAGATTGAAGACATTTGACTTTTGTGCTGAACTGTGTCTCTAGAAGGTTCTTCACTTGTTTAAAGACATTCAGTATGTTGCTTATGTTGCGGAGAAAACATACTTCACACCATCAAGATTGGTCTTCTATAAAGACAGCAAAATATCTAGCACCTGACATAGATTGAATTAAAGTTGGACCGCAGATATAAGTGTGTATGATTTCAAGTATATTGGTAGTTCATTGGTTATCTGCTGAGGGAAATGGATTTTGCACCATTTTTGACATAGGTAGTATTTACATTATATACATTTGTGATCAATTGTTGAAGTAAAGTTTACACTACACAAATGCACTCACTGTTGTGATGATTGATAGTCAGATTACAACGCTCCAGTTGAAGCAAGGAAGTCCATAAGACTTTTAAAAAGTTTTTGATCCATGACAAAGTTGTCCATTTTGCATGGCTAGCTGAGTTATTGGGAGAGTACAGTCCTTAGAAGTGTTTCTCATTCATATGTGAAGTTATCACAATCAAGTATATAATGATGAACGTCTTGTATTGAGGTGTTGTTACAGCCTCATAAGGGAGTGTCTCTGTGACAAACAGGTGAAAATAGGCCTCAAGGTTGCCATGTCCGGTAAAAATTTGTGTATTTATATGTGTGATGGGAAGATGCTTCAGTTTAAGTCTTGTCTCTATGTTGGGGATAAAGGAAAATGTTATCCTTTCAGTGTTACCGTTCTCCCATTCCCTCTGCCAAATGCTGATAGCAGTAGCATGAACAGCGTTCTTGATACTGGTGTAGGGAATGTTGCTGAACTCTGAGAGGAGGAGAAATTTGCACTTAACTTTGCTTGTTTATCAGCTGCCTAATTTCCAGCTAAGCCTGCATGCCCTTTAACCCAGGTTAACACGATTGAATTATTGTTGTTTTGGATTTCCTGAAATATAGGAAAAAAGTAAAATATGAAAAAAGTAACATGTTGGATTTTTGAGCTTTTGGATGGCAGTTTGGCTATCATTGCAAATCCTTACTATTTGGTTCTCAATCCCCATGTTGCTAAGATGATTAACAGCTTTAAAAATGGCATACAGTTCTGCTTGAGGGACTGTACAGAAGCTTTCTAGTCTTATCCAGAAGTATAGATTGGAGTTGTTGATTTATTTTTCTTTATAACATATGCTGCTCTATCTTATCATTTTGTTTTGAGCCATTTGTGAAAATCATGTAAGTAGTTGAGACTTATCTTCCAGAGATTTAATAGCGATAGATGAGTATTTTGCTGGATGAATGTTAAAGATTTCATCAGGCATTGGGCATTCTCTGACTAGCCTGTTAAGAATGGATATGCTCACGCTAGAAAGAAGACCAATGTGAATATAGTTAACAATTTCATCATCATTCTGATATGTGATTCCATTTTTTTCTATGTATCAATTCCACATCACTTCTTTGGCCCTAATATGTAGGTGAAGAGCACCTGCAATTACCTGTAGAGCCACAGTACAAGCTGTTCTATATGCTTTGCAAAGCTGAAGGAGAGTAATGCGTTGAATTTTATTCAGTTTTTTTTAGTCCTAATTGTATCTGTGCAGGTTGTCCAGAAAGGTGCTCCATAAAGGATCGTTGTTTTTATACAGGCTCTGTAAATAATCTTGATATTCCTGTTATTCAATCCCCATCCTTTGTTAGATAAATGAAGAAGGGCATTGGAGAGTTTAATTGCCCTGTCAGAAGTTTGATTTAAGTGTGTGGTCCACATGAACCCTTGATCAAATATAATTTCCAAGTATTTGAAATTATTTGTATTTTTAATTCTGTTGTTGTTAATAACTATCTTGAATGCCTTTTTTAACTGGTGTCCTTTTGACATAACCATATTTTGGCATTTTCCATAATTAATGTTTAGTTTATTTAATTCACACCAGTTGTTGATTTTTCCCAACAGTAAGTTTGCCTCTATTTGGAGAACTTCATTATTTTTGTGAGAAAGCATGACAAGGGTGTCGTCTGCGAAACCTTGTATTTTCAAATCACAATTTTTTCTTGTATTGTTGATGTGAAGAAGACTGTCATAGACAATACAGGTAGCCCTCGGTTTATGCCGCAGTTGCATTCCTACAAAAGCCGGCACAAATCGAATTGGCGTAAAACGAACCCGTATTTACAGTGAGGTATAGGGTTAGCTTCTACATAAGTGAAAAATAAGCTAATAATTTTGTTTATTAATACAATATAATACAAAATACATATAAATTTTTAATTTTTAAAATGTATTTTATCATAAAATAAAGTAAAATGCTTTTATTTAAAAATTTTAGTTTCGAATTTCTTACATTTTTCGGAAAAAGTATCCATCTTTAATTGTTTACATTTTTGATTTCTTTCATTAAGAATTTTGGAATATGGTCGAATATGATGCTCCTTTTTACATTTGCACTTCGCTCCAAACATTGTCTAACTCACAAACTTCATCTGTCAAACTTTCCTTAGTTGAAAGGATACGTTAACCCGACGTAGAGCTACAGATGAGTGAAGACACTGATTGGTCGACCACCGGTCGCCGTAGTGCATATGTAAGGTCAGTTTGAGTGAGAAAATTAAAGAGAGATAGATATCGTCCGGCCAACGAGAAGTAGATTTGTCTCACTAATGATAGTTTGTGATCGGCGGAAGTGCTACTGCTTCGTAAGGTGTTTTCCTGAACGAACTGATACAGGATAAATTCAATGGCGCTATGGATTCGGACGCCATTTATTGGACTATTAAGTTTGATAACTTGACTCGTGGGTACCTAAACATTTAGTATTTTAATGTTAATTTAATGCAAATGTATACATACCCAATAATATTAAACAGAAAAAATGAATATATTCAATAAAACTCTTTGTTTTAACGAATGTACAATGTCGCGGCTTGGCAAATACGTCAACACTGAAACGAAAATCAGTCTGGCATAGGGAAAATCAGGGAATTACACAGCAAAATCGCGAATTGTGCAGTGGCG